TGGGGGGGCGTGGAAATTTTATTGTAATCCAAAGGGGGGCCCAGAAGAAAATCTTTGGGAACCACTGCCTTACATTCACCTCCCTTAGCCACTCTTTCATCATCTCCTCAATGAGGAGATGAGGAGTTCTGCATAAAGCACAAACCTGTTCTTTTATGCACAATCCACGCCCACACTTCCCCCTCTAACGTTCTCATGGTGGTCTCAAACGTCCGCAGTAACAACACCCATATGGCGCAACGCACTATAGGGTGCGGCGCACATTTTGAGGGAAAAAAAAGACGTTTATATGCGCCTTATAGTCGTGAAAACACGGTAAGTAAAAAACCTTAAATTAAGTGCATTTACCCTTAATTTGAGTAGGTAAATTACATATTTTGCCAATGGAATGAATATTTTTACTCTTCACATAAGATAATTACATAACATGCACTTGAAATAATAATGCAATTGTGTTTTCTTATTTTAAGGGTAAATTGTCTTGTTCCATTGGCAAAATGTCTGTTTTACCTCCTGAATCCAAGAACAAATGCACTAATTTTAAGAAAAAATGATTTATCTAGATTTAGATTTTTTTTCAGTGTACTACTGCAACAAGTTTCCATGATTTCATCAGGTTGATCTGCAGTAGATATAATATAGCACTAACGGGAGGAAAAGATGAGGAATCCTGAACTCCTCTCTGTGTGGAAATCATTTAGCAACCATAGAGATAAGCTTTGAAATGTTGGTAATTAAGTTTTAGTCAGAGATCATAACTAAAGAGTCACATAGAAAATACACACAAATAAATGATGCACTTAGAGACAAAAAAATAAATAAAAAAATGTGGAGAAAAAAAAAAACAGAAGCAAAGGATGGGATGGGATGAATAAACAGGAAAGTTATGGAGAACAGAGTTCTGTCCGACACCGAGGAGGAGGAGGGAGTTAAGGGGGAGGAGCGGTAGGCTTGGGAGTCGATCTTACCATCTACATTAGAGTGTGAGTAGTCCAGGGTGGCAGCATGGAGACAGAGCAGCGGTTAGGAAAGGAAGGCAGAGAGACTGACAGCCAATGGGGGGGCTGTCATGTTTCTCTACTGGTGAGCTCAGAGAAAGCAGAGCGGCTCCACAGCAGCAGCAGCAATCGCCCACCTGGAAACCTTAAAGCTCAGATTTACAGCAGTTATTGGTGCTTCAAGGAGCAAGCAGCAGTGGAAGTCAGCGGGCATCTATGCAGCCAGATCCAAGTGTTGGAGAGAAGGAGGGTAGGAAAGGACAAATGGAGGCAGGGGGGGCAAAGGAAAAAAAAAATATGCTTCTTACCACTCCACTTTGAGATTTGGTTTTCAGGTCAAGCTTCACGACGCCAAAGCCTGCCGGGTTTAAAGAAAAACAATTCAAATGTTAAAGCAAAGGTTATTTATTCACCATCTGCACTGTTTGAATGTCTTTATATCCCTGTATGCATCCTTTTATATGTGCTGCCAATCATTTTGGCTGATTCTTATACCCCATTTACCCTACCCTTGAAAAACCGATCCACTGTAAAAACGATCTAGAAATAAGTAAAAATTTCTCAAATTAAGTGCCTTTTCCCCCTAATCTGAGTGTGTAAATGGGATAGTTTACCAATGGAATGAGTATTTTTACTCTTTAAATAAGATATTTAGATAAAATGGACTTGAAATAAGTCAATGCAATTTTGTTTTCTCATTTTAAATCTAAATTGTATTGTTCCCTTGGCAAAATGTCTCTTTTACCTCCTCAATCCAAGAACAAATGCACCTTCATTAAGAAAAAATGACTTCTCTAGATTTAGATTTTTTCCAGTGTCCATGCCCAGACCGGTCTGAGTTCGGATCAGTTAACCAGGCCGAGCTCAGTTCTGACGACCGTTTACCCATCACGCTATCTCGGTTCCTCAACTCCTCGCCTCCTGTTGACGATCTGCGGTATTACTGCCAGTAATGAAGGAGGAAATCAAGCAGTTGGTGGCGGTAATGCACCAAAAGTTGTTTGCCAACCGCTATAAAACACAAGAAGAAGAAGACGAAGAAGGAGGGCATCAAGCAAATCAAAATGTTGCATGGGGAAGATTTCGATTGTTGTTTATACTTGTTTATAGTTGTTCTTCTTCTGTTTTGTGTTGGTTGGCAAGCAACTTCCGGAGGGGCATTACCGCCAACTACTGGAATGGAGTGTGAATCGGGATGTGCAGCCAGACGGAGATGACGCGTTCTCCTCATGCACTCTTGTTATCAGAGAACCGAGCCAGGGAAAAACCGAGCCGAGCCCACCTCTGGATAGTCTGCAGTTANCGGTCAGTCTGAAGAACGCACAAGTCTGCTCTGATGCATGCTCGATAAAGAGGGCGGGGTGAGAACAACATCCGGGGATTTAATGCGTTCTCAATCTGGCGTTCTTGAGAATTGGAACGGTACTCGGGCTGAGGCTGATGACGTGTCACGAGTACACGAGCACACGAGAAAGCTCAAGAAGGCATATTGAGAAACGCCCAATTTGTTGCGTGGAGAAGATTTCGATTGTTGTTTATACTTGTTTATAGTTGTTGTTCTTCTTCTGTTTTGTGTTGGTTGGCAAGCAACTTCCAGAGGGGCATTACCGCTAACTACTGGAATGGAGTGTGAATCGGGATGTGCAGCCAGACGGAGATGACGCGTTCTCCTCATGCACTCTTGTTATCAGAGAACCGAGCCGAGCCCACCTCTGGATAGTCTGCAGTTAGCTTGGTTCGGTTGTGTCTAGCTCGGTTCAGTTCAGTTTGCTTTCCATTTACACACGATAATTATCTCAGTTACTGAGCTCGGACCGGTCTCAGCACGGTTTTTCAAGGGTACTGTAAATGGGATTAGGTATTAGAGCCAATTCTTATTTTTCTTCCACCATTTACAAACCTAAACAATGATCACAAATGTTACACAAAACTTTAAGCAAAAAACCTATTTAGTAAAAAGGTAAACAAAACATTAAAGGGTCTGGTTGCAAACCAGTATTGCTGGTATTGATGTTTCTGCACTGTTGGTCTGGAAGGACACACAGCAGTTTCCTGCCAAAGCACAAGGGGGAGGCTATTCCAGAACTCGCAAGAACTTCACGTATTTATCTCTCAGTCTCTTCCACCTTTGTAAACACTCCTTTTCTGTCTGCTGGATGTCTTCCTTTTCTTTTCTTTATCCCTTCTCTGTAATGATTTCATCAGCACTGTGGTTTATGGTACTGTACTGCATGGCACAGCTGTGATCCATACTGACTTCGTATGTCAATACTCTGCACTGACACCTCATCGGAAATAAAAAAAAAGGATTGTAAACAGGTAATTTCGTCCTGTGCTTTACCCACCGTAGCCTTTACTGAAGATGTCCTTGGCGGCCTTGCCGAGGTCTGCGTACGAAGGGGGGACAGCCATTTTTTCTGACAACGAGAAAATACAAAAATCGTTCAGTTATTAGTTGTTTATAAACTGACAGACTGCATGGAAGGAAGGAAATAACCCTTTTCTTTATGTTAAGATTACAAAAATAATTCCTCAGCTTGCAATACAACCTGACAAAGATCTTGGCGAACAACTGTTGAACAGATGAAACATGAAGGAGAATGAGAGAAGCGGTGTTTGATGGTGACAGACTTATTTCATCAGGTCCTTGGTAGAGCTTACCCAACTATCTGCAACAGGCTCTTTGGTCAGATTTTTAAAATAAAAGCTTGTTTTTTTTTTTTTTATATTACTGTGTTACAAGCAAAACTTGAGTCAGCTGGTTTTCTTGCCTCTTACTTGCCTTAACTGAGCAGCAGAGATTTTGTGATTATAAATCCAGCAAGATGTGGCATGACTTTAGGCTATGTCTCAACCATTGCTGCACATCTAGAGGCGGGGATCTCCTTTTAGCTCAGTCCGGCTGGGATGAAAGCATCTGAAACCATTGATTTTAAAGTGTTTCCACAGATTCTAATTAGGATATTACATCAAAACTGAAACTAACACTTGCCCCATTAACACTACCCTCTGAAAACCGATCAGTTCGGACTGAGCTTGGATCAGTTAACCATGCCGAGCTCAGGTCCTTACCGCTGTTTACACATCACGCTAGTAAGCTTGATTGCCTCCTAGTGGCGATCTGCCGTAACATTCAGGAAGTCTGCTGAGAGTCAGGCGAAGCAGGCAGCCTTGGTGAATTTTACTTGACAGAGTCGGCTTTTGGGAGGTTAATACGACAAACGATGGTCTAATCAGGGCTTAGAGAGGCAGGAAGCAACAACTAGCCTGATAAACCAGATTAAATGTGAGATTAAATGTGTAATTTAGTCTGGCTCCGATTAATGAGACATCGGAAGATTGTCGATGAGAACAATCCGTTGTTTTTCAAACCCTGTCTGTGCCTATTGGCCAACACTCTGACCAATGAGAGCAACTGACTGTGACGTAGTAAGCGTGACAGAAAGCTGGTGGGGGAGTGCCTGTCGATAAAACGGCGAATACGTCTTCCTAAAAAAATTAATGAGCGTAGAGCCTCTTCCTGCTCACGTTTCAACGCAAAACCCCAAGTCTAATCCTTTCAGAACTGATTCCAAAGCTGAGTCAAACGAGATGTGTTCAATAGTTGTCGCCATCTTCCTTGTTGTGCTTTCTCGTCACGCCTTTGACGTGAACACATCTTTGCGTTGTGATTGGCTCGCCAGTTCTAGGGCCTGGGGCATTGATCGAGGATAGAAAACTCGCAGGCAGAAATGATTTTGGCCGCTGGCAGCCGGGGCTAGTTTATTAGGCTAAATAACAACAGGAGTGGAGGTTCCTCACACTGCTAAGCAGAATCATCACTGGAGGCTGACTGTAAGGAGATGACGCGGTCTGCTCATGCGCTCTTTGTTATCTCAGAACCGAGGTTTGGTTCTATCTGGCACGGTTCGGTTCAGTTTTGTGTGTCATTTACACTCAACAGTTATCTCAGTTACCGTGCTTGCACTGATCTCTGCACGGTTTCAAAAGGTTAGTAGAAATGGGGCTTATGTTTCCATCTAAAATCAGTCTAATGTAACTTTGGCTCCAACAATGTCACCCAAGCATGATGATCCCACCGCCATAGGGCTGAAATGAAGTTTACTGCGGCCTCATCTAACCAAGGTACCTTCTTACAAATGTTCACCATCTTCTAACAACCTTTACTCAGACAGAAACTGCTATGACTTTGTTACAGTAATGGTTTCTATCTCCAGAAGCTTCCAGGCAGCCCTGTTAACAGATACTTGGGATTTGTGTTGTGAAGAAAACTATTTGTTTGAAATTTTTCTTTTATAAGAAACACAGCTGGATTTATACAGATAGTACATTAGACATTGATAGAATTTATTAATGAAATAACATCTGAAGGCACTTTGTATGAATAATTGCATGCCAAACATTTCAGATTCTCTTATCAATTTATTTTTCCCATTTTATAAAAGACTTTTTAAGGTAAAATATCTGATAAAGAACTAAATATATCAATGAAAAGAATGATGTGCATAAGTAGAAACACTTTTTTGATGTTTCTTGCACATTTTAAGACAACAAGTGGATTTATCAGGTAACCAAGCTAAGGTAAAGGATTCAGACCCAGCAAAGGGAACATAGAACAAGGAAGTGTTATTCTGAGTTCTTGCCTAATTTAAAACACAGCAATCCAAGGTGAAACAGAGCTTGCGTAACCTACATATCGGTCTGAAAGATTAAAAAATAAATAAACAAAACCCAAGAAAGGTTCAGAGCTCCAACAGATTTTTCCAAATGTTACCCAATTCTATGTTCTCATATTTAAACCAAATTTCAGTAAAAAATTATTGCAAAGATTTCTACTGGGATTAAACTTTTATAATGGAAGAACCAGATGGGAGGAGTGGAAGAGGAGAGGAAACAAGACAGAGGGAAATGGATGGATGGGAGTAAAGAAGGAGTAAAGAAAAAAGGATAAAAGGGATGAAGTCAAGGGTGGTTCTAGACAGCTTCAATGGGGGGCCGGTGCCCCTGTAGAACTGGCACCTGCACTTGAATATAAAATACCAAAAGAAAATCAGTATCCAATGCTGACCTGTGCTGCAGCAGAAACAGTAAACTGATAGCTCCATTGGACCATTTAACTTTTCTTTTTTCCTTTAAGAGCTCTGTTTAAAAACGGAAACGCTGTTTTTCTTAAATTGGGCCCTTAATTTTACATTATTACGTCATGTTCTGCTTAATGAGTTTTGCGTCATTTGGAGCCGTTCTGATGATATTCCGTTTGATTATATCTGAGTAACGTCTTCCTATGGGCAACAACTTGAAGGCACAAACTACACTGTACATAATTTATTCTTTATGGTACACCAGCATTCATAACATGTAGGCGAATCACTGTCCCCCAGACATCCGCAGTTATATTTTTCATATTTATATTTTTTTAAACGCAGCGGTGAGTGTAAGACGTCATCCAATTGACTCATATTTATGCTGCGTGCTCCTGTTCTCCCAGAGTCCAGACTTTCCTGTGTTCTTCTCAAGAACATACGTGGCGAGGACACGAGTCCGGACTCCCGTCCTTGTGAACTGAGAAACTGCGGCTTTCATGCTATGACCAAAAAAATGTGATTAACATGACCGTTGATATACGATTGGCCGAATTTAGGTGTTCAGGCTGACGTATAACTAATCTGCATAAGATTATTCATAAAATAATCTGCATAAGATAACGAAAAAAAATACAGATTTAAAGACAGGATTTTTTTATTTTTATTTTGGGACAATATCGCCTGATAAAGAGTACATTTATATAAATGTTTAAGCCAGAGTGATTTGACATTTAATGTGACTTCCCTACAACTTTAAATTCAAAATGTTTGTATATTTTTAACAATTTTAATATAATTACTTCTCTAAAAGGGTCGCTCTGTCAGCTACAGGTACATTTTACAGTCTCTTCACTCCAGTTAACGATTACTAAATTAACTGACGATTATTTCAATAAACGATTACACCCGATTAATTGATTAGTTGTTTTAGCCCTTATGTGTAGAAGGAGTGAAGAATGGTTGTAAGGAAGAAATGGATCCATTACCCCAATGCATTTGCAAGTATATAAAAGAATAGACAAATTGATCCACTGAGGGTTGAAAAGGAGAACACAGAAGGAAGAGAGGAAAAAGGACAGATGAGGGTAGGTGGCTGGTGAGGAAGGAAAGATGAAGGACAAAGAAAGGACAGAAAGTTGTTGGATGGATGTAACCTTTAAACAATGGGACACATAAGAAAGACTATTTTTATCCTATTTCTAAAGTAGGAACCGGCTTCATCTTAACTTCATGGCCTTCTTGTCAGAGAAGGAACTGAGAGCAGGTAAACCTTCAGCACCACAGCTGGATAGAGGCTGAGATGAAAGCTCCTGAACTAATGAAGCCTCTCTGCTGGGGGACAAAGGACAGCAGATGGGCCAGTTCAGGGCTAACCTAAGGAACCTAAGGGGCTGCTAGCTGACACTGCTGCCGGTCACACCAGACCCCCACCCCCATGGCTGACTGTCGCTTTTAACTGTTTGCACTAAAAGGTGGAAAAGCCACCATCCAGGGATTAGGCTGTTCTTTCCATGGCTCAGCATCATTGCATAACGGAGACCGTTAGCTAATTGCGCTACGGCACAATTAGGAACAATTGCGGCTAACACTAGAAACGGCCGCGGAATGTAGTGATAAAATACACATTTCAAAGCTGTGTGGAGTATTTGAGGTTGATTCGCGGCGGTAAAGGCTTCTCACCAGTGCAGCAGAGGCGACAGTAGTCCGCAGAGCCTGCAGCGTCCCTGGCGTGATGCTGCTGAGAGGATTGACAGTTAGCTGAGCTAGGCGATGCTAACAGGACACGATGAAGGAGACTGCCGCTGCGCATGCGCACTGCGGCTGCTCCGACTGCTCAATGAGAGCAGGTTAGTTTTACAAAATAATACTGGTCAGGAGAGAAAAGAAGGATTGTTATTCAACATAAACAATAACTACGACTTCAACTCTTGTGTTAAAGAAAAAATAAATAAATATCACAGAGGAA